CCTGAATCTGCGATATACAATTTTTAGGTGCCTCATTCGACCGGTTCCGGTGGTATTTCACCTTTTAGCCTTTGCACTCCAGTTATACTTTCTTTTGCGCTTGGCGGGATAGCCACATTTGCCACAAGTCGACTTCTGAAGGTGGTAGGCCTTAGAGCCACAGCGGCAGCACAACATATGCGTCTTATTACGACGCTTTCCAAAGGATGACGTTCCCTTCGTCATCTCGCTTGTGCCGCCGAGACCAAAGAGCAAGGCATATTTTATTGGAAACCCTCACACCCAATCACTTATGTGCTACCTATGGTTGCTTTCCCATGAGAATGAGAAGGTTGAGGGGGTGTGACAGATAACACATGACCCAACGAAGCCTAGAACACATCCTAGGTGGCCTTTTATACAAGTTTGCCAATCTTGCTCAACAGCAGTGCCTTGTCAACATAATGGTTGCTTGAGTTAACTCAGGTTTTCAAGGGAGAACAGGCTCTGTAATGGAGTTTGGTGAGCAAGTTTACTGAGTACCGGTTTAGGGAATCACCTCTATGAGGGAAGCAAGGAAATAGGAGATTCCACAACGATCTCTATGCATCTCACAGGAAGTTCTGGAGCTAGGGTGAGACTAGAATGGTTGGCTTGAAACTGAAACAAGACGGTTGGTTTTTGCACTTCATCATCTACTAGAAGGGAGGATAACTAGTCGAGCAGTTAAGCAAAGGACATTTTCCAAAGCATGACTCCACTGTGAGTCTTCAGCAATCAAACTTCAGAAAGGTCTGAGGGAGATGGTGTCTCATTCCCAAGAGGAGCCTGGGTGGAGCAACCCTTTGTGTTTTTCTGTACTTGTATTTGTAGAGTGAATGAATGTATTTTTTCATATCAATGTATAGAAGATGCCATTTGACATTGTTATTAAGACAGGTTGTTGACTGTTTTAAACATACTAGTACAATAACTGCTATGGATTAATTACTTGCTCTGTGTCTGGTACCATGTTAAGTGCTTTCATAGGTTATTTTATATGATTCTCAAACTACCTTCAGAATAGAGAAAGCATCTATTATCACCATTTTACAAGTGAATCAGCTGGGCTAAAATAAGTTAAATGATTTTTCCAAGGGCACATAGTAGGTAATAAATGAGATTTAAATATAGCTTCATTTAACACAAAAGTTCTAGTTTTTAACTATTGCTACCTGGTTTCCCCTCTTTGTGTATTTAAAGACAGATTCTCTACTCAGAGGGAGTCAATTCACTAATTTATTTACTATTACATTACTTCATTTTTTCTTTGTAGTGTTTTTCTTGATATATTGCTTATTTTTATATCATCTTCCCCTAAGTACCTAAGCTTTTTTTAAATGTTTCTCTTATTTATTTATTTTTCTTTTTTTTTTTAATGGTCAGCTCATCCCACCCTAGGGCGGGGCTGGCATGGCATGTGGTACTGGGGATCGAACCAAGGTCCCTGCATACTTGCCTAAGCTTGCCTAAGCAAGTGCTTTAGACCACTGAGCTATCTCACCAGCCCAAGTACCTAAGCTTTGATTTAGCCATATGTTTCACCATATTTCAAACATTACTTGCAGAGTAGGCATCTACTTTTTTGTCGTTTTTGAGACAGGGTCTCACTATGCAGTTCAGGCTGGTCTTGAACTTACTTTGTATTCCAGGCTGGTTTCGAGTTTGAAGCCTCGCAAGTGCTGGTGTTACAGGCATGTGCCACCAAGGCGTGCATGTCATAAAACTGACAAGGCATCCAATTAATGTTTGTCACATGAATAAATATGTTTTGGCTATGTTTGATATTATATCTGGTAGCCAAAGTGAAAGACCATCAATA